CTCAAGGGTGGTTGGACAACATCTCAAGTCAGCAATAGGAAAAGATCTCCAGTGTAGAAATTGGTATCATTCTACCCCAGTGGTCTGGGGAATTCTGGGAGTTGAAGTCCACATATCTTAAAGTTGCCAAGGTTGAAAAACTCTGGTCTACCCTGTTCTGTTTCTTCTATGCATCCAGTAGAGAACCCTTAAGTGGTTTTGATGCCATCAAAAGGCTGAGCCATCCAGAGCAACTGTCATGAATCCCAATCATGAATTGTGGTTTGCTCAGAGATTAAAAGTGTTTTCTCTTTGACCTTCCCAAGGAAGGAACCTACTACCTCTTCATCACCCACGTTGTCCTTTTCTATCCAGGTCTTGGATCTCTTGGACCTCCTTGGAGAACCTGTAGATTCATCTCCAGCTCAACCGAATCCAGCCCATTCGGGAACAGGATCTCTCCTGGGTTTGCTTGAAGATCTAAAACCTCCAGGTAGAATGGGATGGAAAGAAAAGCAAAGGGTTCCTTCCGATTTACAACTGTTGAGCATCTTGGTTTGATATCCTATAACTGTGTTTTTCCCAAGAGCCTTCCACGCATGTTTCCAAGGATCTTCTGGATTTTAAGCCCCCAGATATCTCATGCTACGCTGCTCTGTGGGATCAAAAGTCTCTCATTTTCCTGAGCTTTAATTTGACCTCCTGTGGCCTGAACCGCACAGGAAACCCTTGTTCCCAGCTGTAGCACTGTTTTGCATCAGAAGTAAAGATGAGAGGGCTTTCACACAGCCCCATCTAACGAAACCTCCGTCAGAATTATTAATACTTTCTGCTGTTTTTCAAGGATATAAAAATACACTGCCGGAAAACCGGAACGGCCCCTCTTAGCCTTGCAGGTCACCGATGAGTGTGCGAGATCAATCCACTTGTCACAAAGAGAACACCTTTGTCTAAGTTCCTGTATTTGCAGCACTCAGCAGAAAGGGTGAAAGGCGGGCGATGGCACCTTTTGCCTCCTTCCCACCGCTAAGATTCAGATAGTAGGCCGATATTCAAATTCTAGGGGATTCTGCGTCTGGCTGGGGAAGAAGAGCCTTTTCTGAAGCTAACCATGCCTTCGCAGACGCTGCTCCCTCCCGCATGGCCGTCTATGAACAGGACGGGCTGCTGGTCGAATTCTCAATGGATCGTCCCCCGCTGGAGCCCACCTTGCTGCTGATCACGGCCACCACGACCAACGCCACCTCGGGGGACGTTCACAACTTTTCCCTGCAGGTGGCCGTTCCCAAGGTGAGCCCCCTCCTTGGCCCTGGGGGCCGCCCACCGCCTCACCCTGAGAGCCCCCCTAATTCCTTAACCTGCCGTAAGGATCCCTTTTTGCTTCTGGAGTTTTAAAGTTGCCTCCCCCATTGTGAACTTCCGGCGTCCAGAACGAGCCTCGGGAATCAGCTTTGGGAAGCCTAACTTGGTTTGTTTTAGAAAGTCAGGAGTACAACAGGAATCTCTCGCACGATGGTGATGAAGGAAAGTTGTTGGTGGATTTCGGGGGGGGGATGTGTGGTATGTGGGGGAGCCAGGAGTTTATTTTGGTTTTTATGCTTTTTATTTTTTTGTGGTGAGGAACTATTTTTTTTATTTAGTTTGGTTAGATTTAGGACCCACCTTTCTTCCAACCTTGTACATTTTCTGTTCACTTACAACCTCCTTCTCTTCCTCCATCTCCTTCTCCTCTGCCTCTTCTTCTCCTCATCCTTCTCTTCTTCCTTCCTTTCTCCTCCTTCTCCTCTTCTTCCTTTCTTTCTCTGCCTCTTCTTCCTCTCCTTTTCCTTCGCCTCTTCCTCTCCCTCTTCTCCTCCTCTCGTCTTCTTCCTCTCCCTCCTCTCCTCCCCTTCTCCTCTTCCCCTCTCCTTCTCCTTGTCTTCCTCTCCTTCTCCTTCTCCTTCTCCTTCTCCTTCTCCTTCTCCTTCTCCTTCTCCTTCTCCTTCTCCTCTTCCTCTTCCTCCTCTCCTCCTTGTCTTCTTCCTCCTTCCTGTCCTTCTCTTCTCCTTCTCCTCCTCTTTCTCCTTCTCCTCCTTCTCTCCCTCCTCTCCTTCTCCTTCTCCTCTTCCTCCTCTCCTTCTCCTTGTCTTCTTCCTCTCCCTTCCCCTCATCCTCTCCTTCTCCCACCTGGCGTGAACTTTCTCTTTTTCTTCTTGCCCCAGTCCTTCCAGGTGGAACTTCTGGCCCCCAGCAGCTCTACAGTTTCAAGCCAGGGAGGTCCCCCCATCACCCAAGTGATTCGAGTGCTGAACCCCAAAAAGGTAAGAATGATGAGAGGATGAGGAAGGCGGGCTATAACATCAACTTGCCAAATCCACAGTGAACCTGTTCAGAGATCTGCTTAAAAACAGTGCTGGGGCAATACAGTGGTATCACTTCCTCTTTCTTCTCACGGTGCAGTGTTTTTCAACCTTGGCAGCTTGAAGATGGGCGGACTTGTTGAAGTCCGCCCATCTTCAAGCTGCCAAGGTTGAGAAACACTGTCATGGTGTGGCTTCATCCTGGTGGCATCAGAAAGACCAAGGGGACATGTGTCAAGTCCCCTAAAAGTCCTCAAGAAAGCTAGATTGTCACCGTTTCATCAGCCAGGTTTCCTGCAAAGGAAAAGGGATTAAGGTACAGTATCTCATAAACTGGATGCGTGTGTGCTTCAGCCCCGCTTTTATCAGCGAGCGGATTAAGGCAGATTCTCCCGGGTGCCTTTGATCCTCTTTCTAACTCGCTCTTGACGGAAGAGGAAGCCGGCTACCCATTTAGGAGATCTGGAATGAGCGTCTGTCCGTTCCTGTTCTGTGACGTCTTGCCGACGGCCACAGTCCTTCCAGGCTCTGCAAACTCCACTATGGAGTCCTTGGGGTTCTCCGAGCTCGGTTGTTTTCTTGCAGATGTTTCGTTACCCAGCTAGGTAACCTTTTCAGTGCATTATATATAGTTTTCTGCTCCCTCCCATCAAGCACCCTCCTAAATGCTGCTTTTTTTTAGCAGCCTTGCACCCGCTATCCAAAAGGCTTGGTGATTAAAACAAAAATTAAGGCGTTGCTGTGGCTGTCCTGCCAGGGTGCAGGAAGGGGAACTTGGCTTCTTGTGAGAATGAAACGGTGGTGCTTCCACAAGGTTGATCTGTAGCTTTCAGGCAGCTGTATTTATTCATTCAATCAATTTATGGAACTACCCGTCTCACCTACGTGTCTCTTGGTGGCTTACAATAAAGAGATAACATACCTACCATATAAAAAAAAATTGCTCGGCCCCCGCCTTCTGCCGAGATGTGTTTTGACTTCCTGGTCTAGCCTGCAGCCATGGAATTTCCTAGTGGTCTCCCATCCAAATGGAATGAGGCCCAGCCTTGCTTTCTGAGATCTGCCGAGGTTGGCTCAGAGCAGTTGGTTAGTGCAGAGGAGATGTAACGTTATATATGTTTTATTCTTTCCTGACCCCAGATCCCACCAAGGATGAGGCTACGGCTTTCTTACACGCTGCCTTCCGGGGCTGCCGTACAACACATTGAAGAACTCAACTCGTTCCCAGAGGCTGCGTGGAAGTGAATAGTACACGACTCAAGGGGAGAACGGCTCCCACTCCCAAGCGTTCCCTCTTGATCTCCCAATTAATAAACATGTATGCAAATCAGGGAAGGCTGGATGGCCCAATGGGTGAGTCGATGCGGAGGGGGCAGGCGGGGGCAGAGGCTTTTTAAGGATGATTTCCAAAAGAACAGGCCAGGGAGCCCCATCCGGACTGGAGAACTGCCGAGTGGGCGCACGTGCGGGTGTGTAAATACGGGAATCCCAACCTCCTGTCAGCATTTTTCCTCTCTCCTCATTTCAACTGCTGGGAAATCAATTCAATTGATCAGCCAGTTGGGGAACTCCACAACAACTGAGTGAGACTAAATGGAAATCAATGAAGATAAAGAGTGGAGGGAAGACGGAGGAGGAGGAGAAGCCGTCCGTCGAATCGCCACAGCCACGCACCCCTGGACCCTTTCCAGCGCTCAATTCAGAGGTTCTGCCCAGGGGTTCCCCCCACAGACAGTCCCCTGCCTAAATCTTCTCTCATGCCCATCCCACTTGGTAGCCCCCAAAACACCCCAAGGGAAGAGGGGTCCTCCATGGAGTTCCACCAGCTTCTTCCAGGGTTATGGAACCCATCAGCCATAAGGGACACCGATGGGCAACCCTGGGCCACCAGCTTTCCTCCTCTGGACTCCAGGTCCCATCTCACCTGTTCAGCATGTTGAAGCTGGAGAACCACCCTGCTTGGTAGCCCCCAAAACACCCTGCTTGGTAGCCCCCAAAACACAAGCAAGGGAAGAGGGGTCCTCCATGGAGTTCCACCAGCTTCTTCCAGGGTTATGGAACCCATCAGCCATAAGGGACACCGATGGGCAACCCTGGGCCACCAGCTTTCCTCCTCTGGACTCCAGGTCCCATCTCACCTGTCCAGCACACTGAAGCTGGAGAACGTCAAGTCTCCCTTGAGGTCCTGTTGGGAGAAGGGCTCCGCAGCCTAGTTCCCCTATTGCACTGAGGCTGAATGTTCTGTCTGGCTGAGCACACGGCGTGAACCCTGAAGGCAAGCCAGCCCCTAGGGTGTGTTAACAAACCCTGGTCAAAACAAACCACGCAGGTCAACTCCCACAATCCCTAGTTGGCAGGGCCAGAGAGGAAGGCTGCCCGAGGGAGCCCCAAAGTTGGGCCCAACCACGCTACTTAGGCTCCCCAAACATGCTAAGCCAGAGGCATCTGCCGGGGGTCAAAGAAGTCAAGATGGCACCCCTAATCGCGGGATCAACGCCCCACCCCCTTTTAAGGCGTACTCTGACCCCCTGCGCCAACCAGGTTGATTGAACATGGTGTGTGAAGTGAGGCGTGAGTTCTATAACGACGTGGCATGTTAGAATTAAAAAGTTGTGCTTCTTTTAACATGCTGCTGCTTCTCTCCATCACTCGATCTCAAGCCATTTGAAGCTGATCACGAACAAGCCTTTTTCCCCTTCCTCTTCTCCAATCTGGGGATTGTCTGCCCATAAGCCAAGCCCCTCCCCTCTTTCGGCCATTGGCTCATCTGCTGTGATGTCATGTCAGGCTCATGAAATACTACAGCAGTGTTTCTCAACCATGGCCACTTTAAGACCTGTTGAGCTTCACTTCCCCCGATTCCCCGCCGTCCGCTTTGTTTGCCGGGGGTAGTGGCTGTGGTTATTGGTGTCGGCCTC